CCAATCACAACGCACTGGATAGCTGGCCAATCAGAGCACACCTCGCTTTTCAGACCGATGAGCTTTGTAAAAATCAACGCGTTTCAGAAAGGCGGGGCATAGAGGAGAAACAATAATGTACAGTATGTGGAAAATAATGTGTTTTTTTAACCTTAAACCGCATAAACACATTTCATTATACCAAATACACAAAATAATGTTCTTTTAGCAACATCATATAACCCCATTAAGTCGCACGAATATATTTGTAGCAATAGCCAAAAATATGGGTCAAAATGATCCATTTTTATTTTATGCCAAAAATCATTAGGATATTAAGTAAAGAGTAAAGAATTTAGATTCTTTTGCACACTCAGATTCCAGATTTTCAAATAGTTGTATCTCGACCAAATATTGTCCTATCCTATATGATGTATAAATCTCAATTTTAAAAAACTGACCCATATGACTGGTTTTGTGGTCCAGGGTCTCATATCATCATATTGCAAGTAAAAAAAAAAAAAAAACACACAATCACCCATTTTTTATGTCAGTGTCTTCCAACAGGTGATTATTTTTATTCAACCTACCCATTCCTTTGCAGGCCTTACGGATTGTCTTGATGTCTGCCACCACATCAAAGTCCTCATAAGGAGTTACTGTGGGCTGAAATGAAGGTTGTGTAAAAAAAATCATGTGTTATGCAATTAAACTACTGCGGTTTTAAATTACATTTACATCAAGAGATTTAGAAATAGGTTAAGCAGTTAATTCCTTGTTATATTGTCAAAAGATGTGATGAGTGAGTCCATCAGCATGTTTCTGAAGGGTTGTGCATGAGATCACTGCAGCAGCAGAGTCTGCAGGGGGAGGAGGGGCTCTCTATCTAACACACAGAGCTGAGTCATGGCATCTCTGAGCAGGGACGGGAAGAGCGGAAGCGTCCTCTGCCTCGCCCACTGCCGTAATAACAATGCACACTTATTGATAACAGAAACAGTTATTCTTTTATAAACATTCCTCTTCCTCTAAGAGAGTATAATACTGCTCAAATCACAGTAGAATACAAGAAATAGTAGTAAATACAAAAGTTGTATATGAAATATAATAAAAAATAAAGTATATAAAAAATGTATATTATAAAAATATTTAGTTTCGAAATTTTAATAATACACGTGTAAGAAATGTGTCAAAACATCGAAATAAAACATCAAAATGTAACGCTAGAAACTCGTTTGCGTGTAAGTATTTTTTTATTTAGTCAGTATATATTTGCTGCATCCGTAAAACAAAGTATAACAACCAATACCGTTATCTGTAGTGAAATAAAATGAGAAAAAGAAACAAACTGCAACGTGTTTTACTCACTTGAACGTTGCCCATCTTGTGACGCTGATGTGATTCTCTGAATGCGCGCGCGCTCGCTCTCTCCGGCCTGCCACGCATCCCTGACGTCACTGCTGGTGACATGCGTGTTTACATTTTTATCCGATTTCATTTCTTTTTTTCTTTTTTTTGTTCGATAATAACCATGTTCTCAACAGCGTTATTGGTTTATATATATGCCAGTAACATGTGGTATTACTGCTTGTTGGCTAAAACCAAACCGACATTCTTGAACTGATGAGATTGTATACACAAAAATATCTTTCTTCATTCACCAGGAATGAAACAAATGTGCGTCGGCTGATACAAAATTTAGTGAGTAGAATCATTTGATTTAAGACAAGAAAGTCTTTGTTAATTGTGTCCCAGCAGTACCAACCTACTCGGTGCATGAACAGTGCTTTGATTTCGTGTTGACCAGAATACTAACATTTATGGCACATCTATGTTTCCTTGTAAAGTCATATATTGTAGTAAGTCTTGCAGCAGATTATCAAATATTTTTTATTAAAGTTATTAAATTAATTTTTTATTTGTTTTTTTTTAATAAAAAGCAGATGCACATAGACAGTATTGCTAAAAGATTAAACAGAGGCATGCATATGATCTGTCCCGCGTGAATAGCAGGAAACGCGTCGGTTTCTATGCAGCAGATTATCAAATATTTTTTATTAAAGTTATTAAATTATTATTTTTTATTTTTGTTTAATAAAAAGCAGATGCACATAGACAGTATTGCTAAAAGATTAAACAGAGGCATGCATATGATCTGTCCCGCGTGAATAGCAGGAAACGCGTCGGTTTCTATAATGGATAGAAATATTACTTTCAGCATTAATGATGCATGCATGCACAGCATGTTTACAAAGAACTCGCTCATATTTGACATGTGTAACCATTGATTCTAACCGATTAGGCAAACACTCTTATTTCATGTGAGCTAACGCATGTGGTGATTTTTATTAAATTGTATTATTTATAATTCTGCTCTACTCTATAAACATATGTCTAGAATTGTGTTGGTCCATGTCCTGTTCTTTGACATTGAGAGCATTCATTCATCCACATCACACCAATGTCCGTAACTACGGTGAAGACTTGGCTCATGAATATTAATTAGGGCGCTTCAAAGAGGTTACCAGAGCCGTTGAGCTCTGGAGGTTACTAAGCAACGTCACTTAACGTTATTAATATTAATGACCTGCGCTTTTATTTAGCAAAAATAGAGAAAAGAACTACATACTGAGAATGCAGTATGACTATTTATACGATAACAAATTAAAATGCCTCCCATCTTTATGCTTAAACAAACCAACATGCAAAATATTCGGTTGCGCTGTCGCTCGTTATACGCATGCGCACTGTCAACTCTGTGTCAACTGACTTCCTGTCTGAGGGAGGGACTGCTGCTAGTGTCCCGCTAATCCTTCAGATCCCGAAAAATACCACGGAGAGGGAAGGGAACGGTCTATTCCGCGCCTATCCGTGCGGACACTAAGTAGGTATGGTCATGTTTTTAAAATAAGATTACGCGAGGACGGAAAGTGTTTGAATTTCGACCGGGAAGAAGGGTTTTCATCATCGGAATGACCAGCGAAATTTCGATACAGGTCTCGAGGGAAGGAACAGACCAGTTCACGAGCTCACTTACTATTAATGACTCTTCGTCAGTTTGAATAATTAATATCAGCTACAAGATGACGGATGCGCGGTTGGCGATGTAAAAACACGCACATTTAGAGAAACATCATGTCTTTCAGTTGGCAGACATCTTGTACTAATTATGCCGCGATTAAACGGGACGAACACTTCCTGTTCAGAGCCTGTACATTGAGTGAATACTAACATCATTTGCCGTTACAGTTTTTGCATTGCAAACACTTATATTTACATAATCTCGCATTTTTGACGACATCAGGACGTTTTGTAATTGCAGAGCCATGCACCAACATATATACTCTTTTAGTTTCTCAAGATGTGACCCTGGACCACAAAACCAGTCATGAGATTTGTACACCATCTGAAAGGTAAATAAATAAGCTTTCCATTAATGTAAGGTTTGTTAGAATAGGACAATATTTGGCCGAGATACAACTATTTGAAAATCTGGAATCTGAGGGTGCAAAAAAAATTCAAAATATTGAGAAAATCGCCTTTAAAGTTGTCCAAATGAAGACATTAGCAAAGCATATTACTAATCAAAAAGTAAGTTTTGATATATTTACGGTAGGAAATGTACAAAATATCTAAATGGAACATGATCTTTACTTAATATCCTAATGATTTTTGGCATAAAAGAAAAATGGATCATTTTGACCCATACAATGTATTGTTGGCTATTGCTACATATATACCAGTGCTACTTATGACTGGATTTGTGCTCCATGGTCACATATATGCTTTTAACATGGGTGAATATATTTATTTTATAGCCAACTAGTGTTTTTATCTCTTAAACTACGTTATTTGGGTTGTCACACAAGCCCACACTGTTGAGAGTTCACCGTCCTGCCTGCTTTATCTGGTCTCACTTGTAGGGCTGAATGCCTCTCAAATCTAATCAAGGTCCCACAGAGCTCTTCTATCAAGCCAGTGAGCGTCATATTCATTGTCCTGTGAATTATAGGAGTGAGGTCCCACCATGGAATGTGAGGTCTGAGGGGCAGCCACCATGATTGGAGGACTGTTCATCTACAACCATAAAGGGGAGGTGCTCATCTCCCGTGTCTACCGTGATGATATAGGGTGAGTGAGTTCATCAGTGCTCTTAAAACTGCATCTGATCTCAAGGACTAGACTTGTGAGTTGATAGGCTTTCTCAAAACCACATAATTCTGAGACGGGCTGGTAAACGGCACCAAAACACACAACAACCACCAAAAGCTGCTCGGGAACACCTTAGCAACACTTTGCCAACACGTCTACCAAATTACTTTTGCACAGGCAAACTCTAAATGTATTGCTGTTAGAAATATTAGAATACATTTTGGCGCGAATAGACTGGCCTTATTATGGAAGCCCGTTTCCGCCACTGAATAAAAAATAAAAAAGGTAATTGTGACTTTTTATCTCACAATTCTGACTTTTTTTTACAGAATTGTGAAATATAAACTTGCAATTGCGAGTTATAAAGTCAGAATTGTGAGATATAAACTCGCAATTCTGAGAACATATCAGTCTTTTCTCCCCCTCAAAATTGGACTTTAACTCGCAATTGCGTGTTATGAAGTCAGAATTGTGAGATATAAACTCGCAATTCTGACTTTATATCTCGCAATTCTGACTTTATAACTCGCAATTGCGAGTTTATATTTAGCAAATCTGTGAAAAAAGTCAAGAATTGTGAGATAAAAAGTCGCAATAACCCTCTTCTTTTTTTTTTTTTTAATTCAGTGTCAGAAACGGGCTTCCATAGCTTATTATTAATGCGCAAGCTCAGCAGGGTTTAAACTCTGTATCTTTGGGGTTATCCTGTTAGGGAAGAGGAAGGATGACAGGATGTTAGAGAGCAGGAAGCATTACTCCATTCCACACCATAACTAACTACATTTAATTTTTGTAACCATAAATGGGGAAGTATTGTTTTTACTTTCCTTCATAGAACCCCAGATCAAGTTTTTGTCCTCATATAGATTTCATCAGTGTGTTTCCATTACTGTTGTCCATTTACACATGCAACCCATGTTTGTCTTTCTCCTTTTGCCTTGTCATTATTCCCCTCATGCTCTTTGTCCTTTGTACTGTTTTTCTCCATGTTCATTGTGGCTACTGTAGCACTAGGTAAGCGATCCTACTACAACCAATGACCCGAAAGCATGTTTTTAGACCTCAGCAAGCAAGCAACCAATCACTCTGACGCATGTCACCAGTGACCCCCAATCTAGGGTTGGGCAATATAGCCAAAAATAATGATCTATCTGTGTTTTAAGCCTTTTAATAATACTTCTACATTTTTGTATTTGTATTTTTTTGCAATACAGAGAAAGAGCAAACACCAAAAATATTAAATTACAGCCAACGAGTCAAAGACAAGACATAGCATTTTGTATATTATATTTTATATGTTTCAAAAAACTTGTGAAAATAAAATGTCAGAATATGGGTGAAATAATGTTCCATCATCATTCTGCATAACAGAATGTAAAAATAATGTATTTATGTAAAAATAATAGTGCTGTCAAACGATTAATCGCATCCAAAATAAAAGTTTTTGTTTACATTATATATGTGTGTGTACTGTGTATATTTATTATGTATATATAAATACAAACACATTATTTTGAAAATATTTACGTTTATACATTTATATATTCATATTCTTATATTATATATAAATATATTTAATATATAAACATAACATTTTTCTTAAATATATATTATATATATTTAAGAACATGCTGTTCTAATCTCATCTTACTTGAGCATCCAAATACACGTTCGCTCATGCAGGAGCAGAAAGTACGTTCTAGTTGGACATTGGCTATAGTCTTCACAGTGTGTTCAAGCACAACATTTTAGCCCAGAAGCAGGTGATGCGAGGTGACAAGACAGTCGGCTTTCATCGCTGCTAATTCTTTGTCGGTTTGGTGTGTCACAGCCTTTAAACCATTGTTACCAAAAAATAACATGCATAGACTTCCATGTACAGTTTGGAGTGAATGTCCATTAAATCAGTGTTTGGATCAAATGAACCATAGAAGAACTGATTCTTATAAATGAAGCAAACCTCTCAACAATACTGATATTCTCAAACAATATTCTTAGGAGTTGTGACATTAGGGGTGAGTTGTGATGCTTTCCAAATGGGCACAAAACTGTCATAGTAACATGGTTTTTAGGAAATTTAGGACAAATGGAAAAGGCATGTAAAATTTTGCAAGAAGTTGCACCATTTCTTTGTTAATTTTGTATCATCTAAGCATATTGAATGTATTGTGAATATTCATATTGCCCAGCTCTACTGCAAGCATGTCACCTGACATACTTCAGCCAATCAGATATTGTGAAGATATGCAAATGCACCAGCAGCAGACTGAAATTACCTTGATG